ATAGTTCCAAAAGCAATTGTGTATCCGATGAATCAAGGGTACAGTGAAATCTAAATTAATATATTATAAAAATAAATCTCCATTGTGATATAAATCTCACATAGCAAAATAGGAGCCGAGTTTTCTTGAATGTTTTTTCATTGCTGGTATCAAAAGGAAATATTCGTACAAATATTGAGAGAAAGACCATTGAAGTGCCAGCAATTATGAAATAATTAAGATTAGCACTAATAAGCTTGATTAATCTATAAATGCAACACAAATTAATTGATCAAAATTGAAGAAAGAATATTGTGTCTTTTAGGAAACTCACTTCTTATTTCTAAAATAAAAGGTGAATATAAGACAGACAACGCAAAATACAAGGCCAGCAAAACTGATTGCATAAAAAATGACAACCAATGAGAGATGAAATGTAGAGACTATCCTAATAGGAGTACCATCTGGTGGAACACCATCTGAGAGGGAAGAGAGAGGGGGATGGAAGACGTAAAAAATATTATTTAGATATTGTTAAGGCATTAAGATTACTATTAGAAAATAGAGACATATTATTTCATTTGTAAAATCGAGCTAACGAAATACCTGGAAACAAGGTTGAAGTACTCTGATTGTTCAAATAAATGAATTCATCTTGAAACCACCTAGCCACCAGCAGTTGCTCATCTATAACAATCATAATTTATGCATGTACATTCAGTCCAGTGCTGTTGTAATCACAAAAGCTATTGTAATCATTACAACTGAATTACTGATGGAATAAATTGTAATCAATACAACAACTCAATCACAATTAAATAGATTACTTTATAATAAAATTTTAATACATGACTATTATTACAGCTGATTGTTTTATTTCAGCCATCATTAATAGGCATATGTGCTAAGTTTAATGCCTTTAAGTTATGTGATCATTTTAGTGTACATTTTACATTTAACTATAACATGACACATACATTAATGGAAAGAAAACACAAGCAGTCGGTCACTAATTTTAGTGAAGCAGTTAATTTTGTAATTACAATTACAAATTTAAATTTAAATATGGACACAAAGAAAATGCTCCCAAATAATTTTTCTCAGTAGATACTTGAAATTGCATGATGACACATACATGCATTGTACACATGTAGACAGAAGTATGATATCAGATCATGGTTTCCCAGTATAGTGCTTGCCAGCTTATGAGGTGTGCTTTTTAGCTTGCTCAGTAGAGCTTTGTAGAAAATTTTGACCCAATGCATTTTGTTAAAAATGACTACAAAAAATTCTCCATTTTAATAATCTTTTCTGATACAGTCAGTTTCATTTGAGTTGCCACAGGAAGTAAATCAATGTTTGCATCACCCATAGATATTAG